GAGGATTTAGGGTTGCATGGCTAGATGCAGTCGCTATAAACTCTGCAGTTTAGAATTATAGTTTTTAACTATCCAGCTGAGAAAACCCATAACCTTACTGAAGATACCATTTTATAACTATTATCATACAGTCAACACAGCACCCCCTCCCCTCCCCCAATAGAGGTCCACTTGATTCATTGAATTCACAATCTGCCTAAGTTAATTTCTCTGCAGCAAGTCAACTATCCAAGACATCATGTGGAGGAATTTATATGAAGTAAATGCACATTTTATTATTTTTACATAGCATATGACAAGTCTTTATTCTTGATACATTTGTATGTCATATAATACAAGAATACAACTATATGGGACTTAGAATATATGCATTACTGGCCAAAGACTGAAGCTACATTCCAACATGCAACAAATAATAAAGGTTTATAAGACAAAACAATATACAATTTGTAATGTACTTTTACATTTACTTAGATACCAATGTCATTTATATTTAATATCCCTGTGGGGGTTCTAGTTCCCCCTTCTAGGGAGAGAAAAAAAAAAAAAAGACTAGACCTGCTGGAAACCTAACAAAAATGTTTTAAAGGTCGACTAATGAAGGCTTTGCTAAAACTGGATGTGCTGGGCCTAGTGATGAAGATATTGCTGCCTAGCTGTAAACAACATCACAGCGTGCCAACCACCCTTTTAAGGGCCAACACAGAAGAAAATGAAAAAAGCAATTTACATAACATAATAATAATACTCATATTCCAAACATGTGAAAGTCAATACTGTATTTTCTCATGAGTAATAAATGCAAAAGATTTTTTAAAGACATAGGTCACATACAAAAATATATACAGAAACCACATTTGTGGTCATTTTTCTCACCCTTTGGCTCCTGTTGCACCTCTAGGTGATGAGCTACTTTATGATAATGTGGACGTGCAGAAGAGGCTCTGGGATAAAGTGGACAGTGAAACTGATCAGATAGAGTATCCATATCTCAAAGCCACAGATAGATCATTACAGTCTGGGGAGAATGGCACTGCGACAAGTTACAAGGGGAAAGGAGAGACAGATATACAATCAGACAGTTACAGGTACCATCGAAATTTCAACTCTTTGCTTGATGGAAAGCTAATGGGGGGTGTTCCAAGTGCTGTGATGTCGATTCTTAATATGCAGGGAAAAAGACATAGATGGACTTTTAATCAGGCAGCAACTGGAACCATCAGTATGGAAACTCTCTGTTGGCTACTGAGAAAATGAACAGAGGCAAGTATGGGAATGCAGTGAGTGCAGTGACAATCATGTATGGTTCATATTTGTTCATGAATTTCCTTTAATGATTGTAGGTTCACATTTAGACTGTAAGTTTCATTTTATAGGTGCAATTTGTGTCTGAGATCACTGAAAGTATCTTGCTGAAGCTACAGAGTTTGTGCTTTGTGTGACAGCAGTAGGCCAGTCACTTTGTGTAAAGAGACTGAGTCATATTGGATAAAACCCAAAGAAAATCCTTTCACAATAAAACATATTGAAAGTGATATTCATAGTTCCAAGCACTGACATGTTAACCGTTTCGCCATGAGAAGCCACTAAACTGACACTTCTGGTTGGTACCATTTCCTCCTTAGAGCCACTATCCTGACTCGCTAAACAGACATGTTTACGACAATCTAGATAACAGAATTCATTGCATCTGTATCTTCTCACAAGTTCAGCATAACAGAGAATGACTAAATTGACTAAAACTGTTATATTTTTGCTACAGTGGTAACCGGTACAGAGTCAGGTTCCATACTATAACTAGTTTACAGTTAAGTCCCCAAGAGAGGTAAGCCAGCATATTCTAAGCTGCATTTGTTTGTTACTGAATACTCCCCCTAATCTGATTAGCATGTATTCGTGTTTTAGATGATAAACTCATTAATTTTTTCCTTTCTTATTTGTGGAGACGTGTAAAATGGTAATTTGTGTAACAATTTTTTTTAATCAAAAAAATTGAAATAAGGGCGCTTAGCTGCATTTTATTTGTCTAAGTCGGGGGGAGGGGGGGGGGGGGGGGGGGGGCAGGAAAAAGTTAAACATAATACATATCATTACTGGTTGTTATAACTAGTGACCCACATGTTCAGCAATGTTTGTTGAGAAACATCTGGTCTAAATTCTAAAGAAATACAGGACCATGTAGTCCAGTATAACAGGATGGACACAAACAAAAACACTCCCCTTGGAGATGGACGGTATGATGAAATCCTGTCATCCACAGCCTTAAGCTGGTTTCTTCTTCCTTTCCTTGTGCCAGGTACTCTCCTTCACCATATAGGACTGGAGGTTACATCAGGTCGGCGTAGCTGCTACGAGTGACCGAATTAGAATTTCATCTGAGGCTGAAGGGGATTACTGGGATTACCTTGCAGGTGTGCGACCCAGATCGATAATCTGTAATCTCAGGGTGTCAGAATTCGCGTACAGACCTAGGGGAGGGGTAAACAAACTCTTCTTGTGGCTTGATCTCTAACTCATGCCAAACTTTGCCACTCATTGCCATCCTAGGCAGCTAGCTCTGTCGTTTCCATCTTATTCATTCATCTCTTATTTTCTTCTTCACATTTTTAATCTTCCTTCTGTCCGTGAAGTCTTAATCCAGGTGTTGCTCTATAAATATCCAGTAATTCAATTTCTTGTAGTAGTTGGTAGACAAAGAATTATGTATTATTCAGCTCTTATGATGCTTTAAAAAAAAAAAAAAAAAAAAATAAAGTGGAATGTGACTTTATTAAGTTTTTAGCCTTGTTATTTAATCTGTGATGTGGAAAACATCAGAGTACTAATAGACAGTTTTATCATAGATAAGAACAGTCAATGAGTCAGATCGACCCATCCAAATTTCAACTTTAAAGATGCCATATGGTCATTTCAAATCTTCAGTGTTAAAATGTTAAGCTTATAAAATACAATGTGAGTGTTAATTAGATACAAAAAAAAACTAGCATGGGGAAAGTAAAGAGTTAATTATCTCTACAGCATGACCAGATGCGATGGGTATGGCAAGAACACAGACCTGATCTGTGATTCTAATAACTGTGAGAGATGCTCCCATGACCGCCTTTACTTATTGTCAGAGCATGTAACAAAAATAATGACGATGATGATGAAAGTTAGCCTATAATTCCTAGCAGGTACAAACATAATGCACAACAGCTCATCACTTCACAATACACACATAGTTATTTTATTAAGAAATAAAAAAAAAACATAATATAAGAATTTGTAAATGAGACAAACACGTTCAACTTACCAAACGAAGCATGTCTCCATTTTACAGGAAAAAAAAATATTCTGAATAGCTTCGGCACTCTGCTATACAAACACCATAAAAATACTGTTCACAAACAAATGCGCTCTAGGGCAAAAGCCCCTAATGCCCCTAGTTTAAAATACATTATTTACACTAAACTAAAACTGTACTCTTGTGTATACCAGCGTCTCAGCCTCTACTGTCAGGCAGCCTTAATCTAACAGTGAAGTTGAATCCGTCATATAAAACTGGGTATCCTGTAATGTTGAATGTCCTGTAGTATTATTACATGTCTTTTGAATTGTTGAATACCCTAAAGTTCCGAATGTCCTTTAATGCTGAATGTGTTCTGCAATGTTGAATGTCCTGTAATACTGAATGTCCTGTAATGCTGAATGTCCCGTAGTATTGGATGTTCAGTAATGCTGAACGCCCTGTGATACTTAATCTTTAATACATAATTTCCTATAATTTTGAATGTCCTGTAGTATAGGATGACCCTTAATAGTGAATGTCCTGTGACACTAAATTTGTATTGTAATACAGAATGCCCTCAACGTTGAATGCCCTGTGTTATTGCATGTGTTAAATAGTGCTGTATGGCCTGCAGTACTGGATGTCCTGTAATATAGGGTGCCCAGTAATAATGAGTGTCCTATGATACTGAATCTGTCTTATAATACAGAATGTCCATAAGAGTGAAAGTCCTCTGATACTGAATCTGTCCTGTAATACAGGACGTCTTATACTACTGAAGGTTTGTAACACTGAATCTCTCCTGTTCTTCGTCTTCTTCTTGTTCACCGGCTGTGAATTCTGGCGGTAAGTCGCGGTTGTTCGTCCAAAATGGACTTTTGGCTTTTACCTTGACCTGAGTTTTGCGTGTACATCCGTTTTACTGGCTTATTTGTTTGCAGTACTCGTTCCCCGCCTCTCCCGCAGATGTACTCCGACTTCGGAGGAAGAATCTCTCCTGTAATAAGGGATATTTTATATTAATAAATGTTCTGCAACACTGAATCTCTCCTGTAATAAGGGATATTCTATACTACTGTACCTTAAAATAAAAAAGGGAATTGCTAAAGAATTGTATATTTCTAAACTTATGTTCTGTATTTGGCATGGGTTTTGATCAAAAGGGAATATATTTTACAGGGAAAGGAAGGCAAGATGTATAGGGACCATGTCACAGTGAATGGTAATGTTATATGTGACATCTACAAGCCATGGTGAGATTATTATTTAAAAAAAACTGCAGATTTTTCTTATGTAATCACATAAGCAGTGGAAGAAAAGGAAGAACGAACAATCAGGTTGGTGGGTAGGTGAATGATTTTATCCAACACCAGTTTAAAAACATTTTTGAACAGAAGCACACACAAGTTCCATACACAGCAGCATTATGTACAATAAATTCTGTGATTAATGGAAAACATATTTTATATAATAAACAACTTCTGCAAACTGCAACGTACAAGTCCACTGGTGTACAAGTAGGCTTCAAGATTTTTAGTTCAAAATTCTAAGTCAGATATTTACTTACATTTTATCCCACCATTTAAGTCAACCCATTAAGGATTTTTTAGGTTTCAAAACTCAGCTTATACACTGCAGTTTATGGTAGTAATGATAATGCTTTCAGATGATGGATGAATTCAGTTGATGGATGAAAGAGGACACTGAGAGTCAGATGTGTAGAACATAGCTGTCATCGTCTGTGAATGTGTGAGGTAATCCACTCCAAGCCTTGATACAACCTGAGCAGGAGGACAAGGTGATCACATGTTAGTGACAAATTTACAAGTTCAGGCTTGTGTGTTGAGCCAGAGAATAAAAACAAGAAACATTTTTAAAAAAAGTTAGTTATGTGTCCTTTACAGAATGTCGCAGAGCCAACCCCATGATTTTTTTGGCTGTTCGTGATTTCACTACGTAATTTTATATTTGGTAGTTTGCCACTGATCTCTGAACAGTCGGCTTCAATACCCCTGCTGACACCAATGCAAGGCAGTCTGCTGCAAAATTGCCCACAGCTGGGATCAAATTACGGAGTGTGTTCGTGATGTCTAAGCCACAGACGCCCACTCAGAGAAAAGCAATTACAACAAAAGGTATATTTTTATGGCATCGTCATGCATTTTAGTATACTTGTTCATGCACTGCAGCGCTGTCACCACACACTGAGTGTGTGCTTTTAACTTCTTTCTATGAGTGCTAATCAATACATGTCTATTTGTTTAACAAATATAATGTTTTTATGACAGCTCTATATTATTTCATTATATACACATATAAAATTGATATTAGTAAATTCCCGGGAAGTAAAGGTGGTAGGCATGATGCTGACCCCATAACCCATTGAGTGCCATTTGATCTATTAAAATACGCCCATTGTGCTAGTGAGGTCAAATTCATCTTTATTTAACCATTTAACATACAAGGTCTTAGAGGATGACTGCTGGGATTTTAAACTGTCATTATAAAAGAAGTATTTAACTCTTTAAAGACGTTTTGCCAGTATACTAGTGAATTAATTTTTCTCTAATGGACCAATCGTCAGTTTACTGGCGTATCATAGAGACACTCTAATTTTGTTCCGTTTGTGGGAAAAACAAACTTTTATGAACAAGTTTTTGAATAATTAGGATTAACAACAGGAAGTCCTTTTGCTTGCGAAGTTTATCGTGGTCGGTGCATAATTTTCTGATTTTTAAAAAATTATTTAGATAAGATAAAATGTTTACGTGATTTTCATATTCTAAATGATAAGGAAAAAGGTCTAGAACTGTTCATACTGCTCTGTCATTGATGAATCTCTGCCAGATGGTGACAATAGTCAATAGTATGATTGATATCTAAGTGACAAACCTACTGGAGATAATTTAGTTTAAAATATGAAAATTTAACAAAATATTTCAATCAGATCAATGTTTTGATCAGCTGTTTTCCCGATTTTCGGTTGTTGTGAAATTTGACATGGCATACATAAATGATCATAACATCTAAAGTATTTAAATTAATTGTTTCAAATCAAGACTAGCAGATACATAATTGAACAGAGAAGGCATGTGCATTCTTAGAACTGGATAGCAGTGTTGCTGAACAAGTAAAAATAAAAGTAAGGTAAGCACAAAATTTGTCAATAATCATCATATGTGTTTAACATCCTTTAATGTTGTGTGATTTTAATAATATTTGGTGGTAATACTGACATTAAAATAGTTTAGATTTATTTGGCACCCATCTATCTTAAATTTGATATATTATATGTCCCGATACAGCCAATAATTTTTCTTCAGGAAGGTTTTAGCTTTGTCATGTTGCAGTAAAAAAAAGTCCAATCAAAATTAATGATGTCCAAACCGAAAAAAATGTGGTCCTGAAAGAGTTAATGGATACACATGTGTGGTGTCTTAAAAGGGCAGAAAAGATATGTGTGACTGCGGGGGCTTAAAGCGGTGCTGAGAAGATATGGAACATCCTGCACCTTAAAATGAATGTAACTGCAAAAACTGCAACGCTAACTCTAGACATGATTCAAGAGACTAAATACTGTCTAGACATCACAGAGCTACCAATGGCACCCATATCAAAGTGAACAAGTCGACTTACGACCTATGAAACTTACAACCATCCGCACTTATGATGGCGATAAATAAATAAATTAAAAATAGTCCAGAAAGAAAGATTACACTGGTAAGGTCAAGAAGTTCCAAGAACTAATGCAATAAGGTACATATTATGTGTTTTCACATTATGTACAAAAAATTATAAGTACACAGATTGAATTGTTTGGTTTCATGTACGGTTTTTATTAACTTGTTTAAAAGACAACAGTGTTGAAAAAACATAAATCCAACTTACGACCAGTCAGCTGGAATGTAATTCGATCATAAGTCGAGATCTTGTATTTTTTCTTTTACTCTTTTTCTTTCAAGTCTGGCATTTGCCACCACAGTTTTTTTTTTTTTGAGTTTATTCCTTCATATAACATGTCCAACAAATTTTGACTGCATCTAATTTCTCTAAACAGTCTCTGGTTTTCATCTATCCCTCGGAGGACTGTTTCATTTATTACACATAAATATTATTAATAAAATGATGATAACTGTACTATGTGTAGCATGAAAAATTAATGTTTTAATGACGTATATTTCTGTGCCAAAAAAAAAAAAATGCAGGAAAAACCATGAGAGAGAAAGAAAAAGTATTACCCCTCCCCTGTAAGGCCACAACATGCCTGTATGTGCCAGACATGGTCTTTAACTGCTGTTAGGTTCAGCTGCTGAGAGATCTCAGCCGGAGACAGGCAACCTTTCATATCCTGCTTGTTAGCGTAGATGAGGACAGCAGCTCTGCGCAGATCCTATACAGGGAATATGAAAGCATGTTATATTGATACTGATATACTTACAAGTTGTCACCTTGTTGGATGCATTTTTATTTTTTATTTTGAAGCCCCACCTGGGCTTTTGCTGGGGTGCCCTAAACATAGCCAGGGGATAATTATGGCCTAACAGCTGAACGGGGGTTTCCGGGACCTGTCCACGGGTGATCCTCATCTGCATGGTGGCACTTTATGTCACCGGGTGTTTATCGCTTGTGTAATATCCTGGTGTGGTACAACTTACCTACCTAGATACTGATCATGCAGCCTCACAAATATCACCAAGCGGAGTCCACTGCTTTATATATTGCATGAATATTTTCAATCATATGCTACAAATCTTTTACATAAGGTCTAACTCAAAACTGCTAGGAGACATTATTACTTTACAAAAAATTAACATAAAAAGTGGCTACTGTACTCTTTTAGTCCCAGAAGCTTGTGCTTTAAATTGGTTGTTCTAAATTGTGTCTAGTTAGACTGGTAGTCTTGTAGTTTTAAGGAGATTAATTAACACAACTATAAGACAGTAGAGTTTAAACAAAAGAAATTTGAATATAGTCATTATTACAGAAAAACTGATGAGAATGGGTTACGAAATATATACCATGCACTTAGTAATCAATAAACGCATGGTGAGTTGCTTAGAACTGAAAGGGAGATGACTGTGTCTGTTAAATACACTGACCACTATGTCACTACTCAAACATAGGCATTTAATATCACCTTGAAGACTGCTTGAAATGCTGAATTCTATTCTACACAACTACCTTGGATAAATAAATGATTAAAAGAATAGTCAAGAAATGACATCACTACATTCAGGAGACTTCGACAGGTGCTCTGTTCCCTTCAAAAGCAGCCACTAAAGAGTTCTCATGCTAGCTGGCATAAAAATTTTGAGTTTATTCATTCTTATATCCAAAACCACTGACTGTCTGCAGGGCCATGCAGTAGATTTGATCAGTATGATGCAAGTCTTTGAAATGCTGGCTCTTTAATGTTCAAATAGTTTTTTGCCCCTTACAATGCCATCTCTCTGTATCATAGCACAGCACCGTCCTGACTGTCTATGCCTAATTTCTCTAGTCAGCTTACAGTTTAGTTTTTTACTGTTTCAAGAAGTTTTCTCTGTTTTTCTATTATTCCCTGAAATTCATTAAATTCTTATCAGAAACCACATTTCCGCTTCTAACAGGCATTTATCAGTGTCTGCTTATTGTCCCTGTCTTGCATGCATATAAAAAATACAAGTTCTATATCGCACTTTAGCACTTTTTCCCACTGCATCTGACATCACTGTATTAGTGAAGTGAATATTTATTAAATCTTGCTAAAGGCTACTTTTGTCATGGTGATTTTTCTTCAGATCTCTGCAAAGACTTGTGTCAGACATTTAAACCGTTTCAACATAATTGTGCTGATTCAATTATGTAAGACTTTTATTATTAAATACACACTCATGTTGACAATTTATTAGCATTTTTGAATGTTACACTGAATACCATACAAATGAGAATCTTCTTTTACTTGTAAATGGGTCAACTATACATTTATGTAACATCAAAAACACATCAGTCTTACCTCATGTGCTAGCATTTTATACAGTTCCTCTTTTGTAATGGATAGCCGTTCTCTGTCAGTGCTGTCAATCACCATGATGATGAACTACAGTACAGATACACAACATTCTTGTCTAAATATAATCACTGCAACCAATATCATTTTATACAGTCTACCAATTCCAGATATTCTACAGCAAATACTGTCCCTGATGTACACAAGTCTTAGGTTTTTGCATATTGTATGCCACAGTATCTCTAAAACTGTGAGAGTCATTGTGATGGTTTTCAGAATGGTATTATGTCTCTTGATGTGTCTGTAGTAGGTGAATTAAGTATGTAAAGGATAATTTTTATATTCAGACATATAATGTTCAGCTCATATTTTTAAAGACCAAATGCCACTGGGTGGGTGAAGTGGTCAGCATCACACAAGCTGCCTTTACTTCCGAGCATATTACCTGGTACATATTTAAGGCTGGGTCAAACTAGGAGCAAGGTCAATTTTTTAGAACAAGCACTCTCATGTGAATCTGAACCTAAGCTTTTCAGGTCAGCAGGTGAATGCCAAGCCACTATGCTTCTGCAGTGCAGATTGGAGGATACGCTATTGGCTGTACGATCTCACCCATATAGTATGGTCATGGAATGCAGATCATTAGTCTTTTGTATGCATGGCTTTGAAACATGGATCTAAGTGGGGGAAATGACAAGAATATGAATGATTCAGAGACATAATGTTACTGCTTGAGCAAGGATGAGCTGGACAGAAAAGATTACATGAAAAACTTCTAAAGACACTGAAAGACAACTGATAAAATCTATAGAAAAGATGATCTTTATGAGACACAGAGGTCTATTTTTGAAAATGCTGTTCCCTTGGTTGGGGGGGGGGGGGAGACAAGAATACACTCGCTGCCTCCTTAACAAGTGTGTCGTAAGAGTCGACTAATTATAATTAGGGGCTTCCTTTGAGTGTATCCACCTGAGAGGCAAGGAACCAAGAGTCTGTATACAAATAAGCCAGATCTGTAAAACGGACTAAAGTCCAGAAGTGATCAAACAACCAGAACTTTCTGCCGTAGTTTACAGTCAGAGAATGTGAAGAAGAAGAAGAAAATACTGGAGGGCAAGAAATAAAAAGGACAACCTGGAAAAAAAAAACTAGATCACACGGGCTTGCAAGGACACTGCAGCCCTGGCACCTGTAAAGGAGAAGATTGAGAGCAGGTGAAGTAGAAGAACATAATCTGACAACTTCAAAACTTGTCTTTGGGTAGCGTAACCTTATGTAAAAAAATTCTAAAATCTTCTCCCCAATGCATAATACACCCTCAAACAACTCTACTACTTCCCTATCATTTGCCATCTTGTGTTGATTTAACATCAACTGCTCAATGCCATGCCCCTCCCTTCTTATTCAGCTTTGATGATTCTCTTATACATGTGTAATTTGGTTTCCTATCATGGGAGGAAGGGGGGCGTTCCAGAACAAGAGCATTCTAGTTACACTGATTTTACCACTGAGTGTCATATCCAGTGCCAGTGTCTTTTCCTCACCTTTTGATTTACTGGACTTTGTGTAGCTTTTCTCTCAGGCCTCGGCATTAGTGACTCTGTTAATAACATTTCCCTTATTTTCTGCTCGTTGCATCTGTGGTTTAGGCGTTGCAAGTCCGACTCGTAACCCCAGCAAACTACGATCGAAACCCACTACTGGGTGCGTGGATTTTTATTATGGTATGGGGCGTTGCGGGTTGACCCAGACTAAAATGAGTACTAGGATGGATGTCCTGGGGAAGTGAAGATGGCCAGCGTAATACCGACCACATTACCCACATAGTGCCGATTGGTTTGTAAAAATATTGGCTGCTCTTTCCACATGCCCAATGCGCCCAAGGCGTTAAAAGGAGTCTTTACTTTTGACTCACAATTCCAACGTACCGCGACCAAAACCCACTGCTGGCAGCTTGAATTTTTATCATGATATGGGGTGCTGCAGGTCGACCCAGACTAAAATGGGTAGCAGGATATATGTCCTGGGAAAGTAAAGATGGCCGGCGTAATGCTGACCACATTACCCACCTAGGGCCAACTGTAAAAATATGAGGTGCTCTTTCCACTTGCCCAATGCAAGAAAAGGGATCTTTACATTTTTTTAAACTCTATTCTGCTCAGCAAGTTAATGATGTTTGCAGTTTATCAGTAATTGTTTTCAATGTTCATGTTTCTGCTCCAAGAAGCAGGTCCCATTTAACATTTCAGTTAAACTGAGGCAAATTTTTTTTTAAATTAGGCTTCATTTTTTTTAATATCCAGATATCCATGCGCCATAAAGGCTCCTCCTTTTGCATCTGTCTTTGTTCTCACATATTTATCAACATAATATTGCTGCATGTGAATAAGTGGTTCAAAACAATTGATTCCCTTGACCTTAATTTTGGTGGTGGTGGCTGTTGGGGGGGGGGGGGGGGGGGAAATGACCCATTGCCCTCTAACAAGCATGTTATAAAAGTCAACTAATTAGAGGTTTGCTAAAATGGATGTGTAGGACCAAATGTATCAGATATCACAGCCCCGCCGTAAACCACAATACAATATCCAACCACCCTTTTATGTGTGAGTGCAGTACAAGAAAAAAAAATATCTGATTCGATGAGTTTCCCTTTAGCAAACATGACCAGCTTCTGCAGGACTGAAGGAATATCACTGACATGCTCAAATCTACAATGAGTGTCTACCTCAGAATTTGTGTAGTACGTGTTCCACGATGTCCGCAGTGACTCCTGACCGCCAATATCCCACATGAGAAAATGGATATTCTTCCAAACCACCTCTTCCACATTGCTTCCAATTGTGGGAGATGTAAGAACAACTTCACTCATCAAACTGAAAAACATGTGGACATTTAACAAGTAAATAATTTGGAAATTTACTGAAATATGCATACAGTTACACTTCTGGGGAGAGTATAATTCTGTCAAAGCAGTGCATCAAACCTATTTTAGTATTCTGAGAACTTGAGGTTCACTGCTGCATTAATTGCTTGTCTCCATTCGTCTCTGTGATTGACCTTCTCTTTACAGTTGGTGACTCCAAGTCTGCTAATTATATATTATCTCTCCACCATCCTCTTAGTCTGCCTTATAGTCTACTCTTTTGTGTCTGAGGTTGTTGTCTTCTGCTATCTGCCATTCTCTCTATATATATGCCCCAATGAGTGCAGTCTTAGCCCTCACGATGCAAAATAATTAGTGGTGATTTAACCAGATTATGAATTCCATTACTGTTTGCCACTCCATTCTCCACTATCTGCAAAATTAATGAGTCCAAACAATCATTTAAGACTGTTTTCAGAGGGTTTTAATAAAGTGTCATCTCTTTAAGTTATAATCCAGGTTTAGGAGACATTAATGACAGTTGGTGTATAGAACACATTTCAAACAAATCTACATAGTTCCTTATTCAATCAATTCAGGTACTATTTTTCACAATAAAGGTTGGCTGCAATGGATCTGCAACATATTTAGTTTCTGGTCTTGGTGGCAGTCTCTCAGACTGCCGTTTGTCCATCTCTTGATGCTACCTCTTGTTCTCTTTAGATAATCACTTGATGATTTTAGGGCTTTCGGAGGTGAGAATGATTTTACTGATCATTTTTTGTTGGTAAGTAAAATCAAGTTGAAACTTAAAAGATATATAACATCATATACTCATAGAAATCAGTATGATGTAGGTTATCTCAGGGATAAAGCAGTTGAGAAATAATTTTCAGTTAGTCTCTAATAAGTACCAGGTGTTGCAGCAGTAAACTGAAAAAGTTAACACGGAAGTCTGCTGGGATCAGATCAAGGGAATATGGAATGAATCTTGTGTAGAAGTCCTTGATAAGAAAGAACAGAAACATGAAGCTTGAATAACACCAGAAACCATTAAAATGGTAGAGGTAGCACAAGAAGCGGAGACAGCAGCAGCAAAAGGAAATCTAAGAGAACTTAACAGCAACACAAGGAAATTAATAGGTAAATATAGTCAGCCAACTGGATCAATCCAAAATCATCAAGGAGAGGTACTCAACAACACTAAAGATATCAAATGGACAGATGGGCTGAATATTTTGGAATACTTCAGCCCCAGAGGTTCCTCCAGATATCCAGCCTCTAAAATTGAATGTGGATATAAACTAAGAGATATCATCTAAAGAGGAAATTAGAAAAAGCTATCAATCTTCTGAAGGAATGAAAGGAGGCAGATCCAGATGGTATACTATCAGAAGCTTTAAAAGGCCAATGTTAACACATCAATGGAATTGCTACATAGATTACTTAGTGAAGTCTGGTTAGACTGACAAAATACCAGCAGACTGGAGAAAGGCTATCTTGTGAAACTGCCTAAAAAAGGTGATCTACGGGAGTGTGAAAAATATAGAGGAATATTTGTTGCTGTCAGTTCTTTGAAAATATTAACTAGGATTATTTTAGAAGGACTAAAAGATGCTATTGATAAAAAAGCTAAGAGATGAACAGACAGGATTTCGGCCAAACAGAATCTGTACTGACCAGATACCACACAAAGCATTGAAATAAATTCACTTTACATAGGATTTCATAGACTATGAAAAAGCATTTGACAGCACTGATAGGGAATCTCTCTCGCAAATTGATGGGGCACTAAGGAATCTTACGGAAAATTATTTACTTAATAAAGGCAACCTACAAAAGAGAAATGTCGAGTTCTTCAGCAGGGAAAGCAAACGGATGCATTTGAAAAAAAAACAGGTGTGTCTTTTGTTGCCTCTATTTTTACTGGCGACAGACTGGATTATAAGGACAGCAACTGCTAACATAATGATCTAGACTTCGCTGATATTTCTCTTCTGTCCCATTCACTGAATCAGATACAAGATAAATTAAATACACATGATGCAAGATCACAGCAGCTAGGTCTAAAAATCCATAAAGGAAAGACAAAGATAATGAGAATAAATAAGGCAAACAGTATGTGGTTTCTCTTAATGGAACTCCCCTCTGAGACGTGGAGTGGTACACCTATTTGGGCAGTAATGTAGATAAAGATGGAGGAACTGATAGAGATATTAAAATTCGAATACAAAAGGCAACAGGAGCTTTCACAGCACTAGGGAATTTGTGGATGTGAAAGAAAATAAAAGAAACACTAAATTTGAAATTTTTAATATCAAGTTAGTACTGTTGTATGGACTGGAAACATGGAGAACGACTAAGGCAATTACTAATAAACTACAAACATTCATTGAATGGTGACTGCGCAGAATAGAGGGAATTAAATGATATGTTAGAATCACTAATGTAAAGCTTTGGGAGAGAACTACACAAGTTCCAGTGGACCAAGAGATGAAGAAAAGACATAAAGGACACACGCTGAGAAAACAAGAGAACACTATAACTAGAATGTCTTTACACTGGAACCCACAGGTATAAAGGAAGACCAAAAAACACATGGAGAAGAGAGCTAGAGAGTAAAGTTAAAAAGATGGGGAAGGACAAGGGGAGAGCTGCATGTGACAGCAAAGGATAGAATGACTTGGCGGGAGCTGGTTGAGGACCTATGCTCCACTGGGGGTTAGAAAGGCTTCTATTGGGAGTGAACTGCATTTCTAGTGTTGGACCATCTGTGCTAGCACTTCTGACTGCATTTAATGTGTGTGTCTGCTGGATTTGCTAAGACTGCAGCCTGCTCCAAATTTTTTTTTCCCACAAGGGATAGTGATAGACATTCTGTATTGTCTTCAGTGACATAGAAAATGAAAGCTATGGGGTGAAATGTTTGCTTTAAAGTTGAAACTGCGATTACCTGATTTAATAAACCAATCTGAATTAAATGTGTCCATCATACTGGCCATCTTTACTTGTCGTAATATTTTCTGTTACCATTTTAGGTTAACTCTAAAGCCCTAATTATTTTCATGGCAAAGTGCTCAAACCATTTGCCTGTTAATGCTCTGTAGCTCTTGGGTTCAGTTCCTAGAGGTGTTGTTTAATTAACAAGTGGAGCTTTTTTTTACTGAGATCTCTGGGAATCATCACTGGATTTACAGAGTTTATGCCTTATGTGATGCTCCTCTCAACTTACCAAGGGATTCAAAGATATGACAAACTCACCATCCGGCATGCATGTTAACCGTTAAAGTAGTTCTCAGATCACCAGAGATTATCACAAAATAACTGACGGTACACAAAGCAAAACTTACAACTGATATAATATTGTTGTCTTGCCAGCATTGTCAAGTCCTACAATAATAATTTTGTGTTCTGTGGATGTGAAGATGAAAACATATTAGTAATAGATGTATAAAATTAAGAGCGTCCAGGTAAGTATATCACATACTGTAGAAAATTATGTTGTTTATCATTATCGTGTTCCATTTGTTTTATAGCCTACTCACAACCAAGTACTTTAAAATGCCAGGCCTGAGACCAGTGAAGACATATTAGTCTAGGATAAGGTTAGAGCAGTGTTTCCCAAAATTTTCTTAGTCGCGGCACCCTATTTGAATTAAAATTTTTCCGCGCAGCCCTAACCTAAGTAAAAGTATGACGATTCGTAAGTAAGAGATAAAAAAAAAATGAGTATCCTCGAATATTTTTGGGCGCCCCTAAGAAGAGGTCGCTGCTCAGCGATGCGCACAGTTTGGGAATCACTGGGTTAGTGAGTAAATTTCCGTGAAGGAGTATCAGAAGTTTATATCAGTCTTTTGCTGTGTTTTTTTACCTGCCTTGTGACACTTCTGTAGGTGTGAGCTGATCAAGTGTGATTACTTATTCTGACAAATAACAGAAAGAGAAGATGCATCACAGAGAATGTTCAGTCACTGTCTTTAAAAACTGTTAGTCAAAATAATGTTTTCTCTGTCCAAAAGGAGGCAGAAAAAATGTGCTATCCAGTGCCAAAATAAACATAATTCTGCACTCTCTATTTTGGGTGTTGAGGTCCAGGTGGTTCATTTAGGAGGCTGAGCTCCATTCTTAAAGTCAGTCACACTATGACCTTATGGATTTGTCTAGCAAGTATGTAAAGAGTATTGATGTACGGCTGGCTATTCCTCTAACTACTCTTTAAGACTTCTGCTTAACTCACTGACTACCAGCGTCGCACGTAATGCGACGAGGCGACGTTTACTGCCTTCTGCCAACGTCACACCCTTTGCGATTTTAGCTTTGGACGCTCGCCGTCATGTTAAAATCGCGATTTTTATGATGGATTTAGTTGAAACCTCTAGCTTATTCATTTCTGTATGGTTAATTAAGGGAAATAACTTCGTAATGCTTGAAGTAAATATTTGACGATTTTTTTTAGTTAGCTCCCATGACGGTGAGACATTGAC